CTGCAAAGGCCCAATATCATCAATAAGGGGGAGGCCTTTGGAAACATTAAAATGGTCTTCAAAGTCTGCATGCAGCCTATAGACCACACTTTTCTCATCCCTGCCTTAAGGACCAGTTACATATGCATGCTATTTTCAATGCATTTCTCTGTACACTGGGCCCTTGGTATTCTCTGGGGTTTGGTTCCAGGACCCCTGTAAATACCAAAATTCATGGGTTCTCAAGTCACAATGTATACAATAATGTAGTAAAATGGCGAGAGGAGTGGCTTAGGCAGTTGGATATGTTTAGCCTGGGGAAGAGATTAAGAGGTAACATGGTAGTCCTGTTTAAAATATCTGAAGGGATGTCATATTGAGAATGGAGCAAGCCTATTTTCTGCTGCTTCAAAGACTAGACTATAGGAAAAGAGGTTCCACCTAAACATTAAGAAGGACTTCCTGACAGCAGGAGCTGTTTGATAGTGGAATACACTGCCTTGTAGTATAGTGTAGTCTCCTTTGTTTTTTTAAAACTGGATGGCCATCTGTCAAGAGTGCTTTGATTTTGTATTTCTGCATGGCAGAGGGTTGGACTGGATGACCCTTGTGGTCTTTTCCAGCTTTATTCTATTCTATCAAAGTTTTGGATTTTTATTGTCGTTTAATATTTTCAGTGGTGGAATCCGCAGATGCAGAATCCGTGGATGTGGAGGACCAACTGTATTTAGCTCAGCACTAGAAATGTCACCTTTTGGAACTACAGCTCTTCAAATCTTGCCAGCATGGCCATTGGGGAATCCTGGGAGTGGTAATCCCTCTTCCCCAAAGGGTTCTGTGCTCTGATTTAGCTATGCCACCCATTTTTTTAAAAAAAATACTGTGTTTTCTTTGTATTCGTCTTTTGAATATGTGAGTCTAATCCCCCTGCTGTGTTGTTGGAAGCCTTCATCTGACCTTTCAAACATGTCTTTTAACCCTTCTCAATAAATTACTCCTCTGTTTAAAAAGTGAACAACTAGACAGCATTCTTCTGCTTGTTTGCATCCCATCTCCCGCTAGTAAACAGTTTACCCAGGCATGTAAACAGTCACAGTCATTTGCAACGCCATTCCTTTGCAGATGAAGACTTTAAACAGAGGGACAAATTTATGAAACCATCACACACTCCAATGGCCACATAGAGCTTTGGAGCAGCACAGGAAATGTGCCTTGAGTTGCTGAATTGGGTGGCTTGTGGTGAAGAAATCACAACATGACCCTTGTCAGCATGAATTCAGGGAAGCTCAGATAAACTCAATCACTAGGTGTGAATTGGTGCTTAGGAAAAACTGGATTGGACATCTCAGTCATATGAGCATAGGTACACAAGAGCTGCCTTGCTGAGGCTCGGAAGCCATAGCTGGGAGCACCTAGCAGGGGGATAAACAACCATAGAAAGATAGGGGGCTGCATTAGCTCCCTAGGAGACCTGGGGGGCTGCACTCCCTGTGCTGCTGCAATTCCTATAAAAATCTATCTATCTATCTATCTATCTATCTATCTATCTATCTATCTATCTATCTATCTAATAATAATAACTTTTATTTTTATCCCGCCTCTCTGCGTAATGCAACTGGGGCAGCTTACAACTTTAAAATATACATTCATATCCCACAATCCCACCCACCCCCATTAAAATACAATTAAACAATGAACAATTTAAAACACATTTAAAATAATAACACATATAAACAAATAAACAAATAACAACAGCTACAGCCGAATCAGGGATAAGCAGGATGGCTATCTTTTGATGGCCGGGATAGCTATTCTGGAAAGGCCTGCCGGAAGAGATCCGTCTTAACAATCTTTTAAAAATGTCTAAGGTGGTAATGTGATGGATCTCATCCGGCAGGCCATTCCATAATCTGGAAGCAGTAGCTGAAAAGGTCCTCTGGGCAGTTGAAAACAGTTTAGTTTTTATAGGCTGCAGCAGATTCCTCCCAGAGGACCGGAGTGCGTGGGGTGGATTATATGGGAGGAGGCAGTCCTGAAGATAGGTTGGACCCAAGCCATTTAGGGCTTTAAAGGTGATAACCAACACCCTAAATGCTTTAAAGAAACTAATGGGCAGCCAGTGAAGTGATCTTAGAATTGGTGTTATATGGCCTTTTCGTTGTTCCTGAGACCAGCCTGGCTGCCATATTCTGTACTAGTTGAAATTTCCAGACCATGTACGAGGATAGTCCCATGTAGAGCGCATTACAGAAATCAAACAAGAGGTTACCAGCGCATGCACCACATTTTCAAGGTCCCTAACTTCCAGGAAAAGGCACAGCTGGTGTATCACACACACACATATTTTTGTTTGTTGTTGTATGCTTCCAATTCGTTTCGGACTTATGGCAATCCTAAGGTGAACCAATCACAGGGTTTTCTTGGCAAGTTTCTTCAGAGATGGTTTGCCATTGCCAGTCTCTGAGGCTGAGAGATTGTGAGTTGCCCAAGGTCATCCAGTGGATTTACATGGCTAAGCAAGGATTCAAACCCTGGTCTCCAGAGTCTTAGTCCAACTCTCAAACCACTACACTACACTGGCTACACACACACATACACCTCTCCAAATATATATTACTTCCAAATACCATTTTAGAGGATAAGAGGTATTTTCACCATATTTTGGATCCATTCTGTGCCATTTTAGGCCCAGGAGAGGCCTTTGTTTTTTTAACAACCAGAAGGGAGCAAAAGTCCCATTCTGTTTCAAAAAAGGCTTCTCCGTGGCCTAAACTGGGTAACATGGTGGGAATGCAACCCACATCCCTTAGAGGTCATTTTGGGACATTTAAATAAAAATGAAAATCTGATGGAAATGCCCTTCACACCTCCAGAGGGCTTTTGGGAGCATTTTGGAACAATGAAGCCCTGGGGGCTCCTAAGGGCTGTATGTGTCCCGTGTGTGTTGTGTGTCTTCAAGTTGTTTCCAACTTACGGTGACCCTAAGGCAAAGCTGTCATTGGGTTTTCTTGGCAAGATTTGTTCAGAGGTGATTTGCATTGCCTTCCCCTGAGGCTAAGAGAGTGCACCCTAGCCAAGATCACCCAGTGCATTTCATGGCCACATGGGAAATCGAACTCTGGTCTCTAGAGTTATAGTCCAACACTCAAACCACTACATTCAAACCATGCTAGCGGGAGATAAAGTGACATAGATTTTCTAGATATTTTTGAATCAATGTTAAGTTATATGATATATGTTACAGATATCAGCAGCGCACCTATCTCCGTCAATGAGCAAAAAGCATGATGAAATACAGGTAGCATTAAATGAAATATCTGGTTGTAACTAGCCAGAAACACTCCTATTTCCAGTAATGAAGCATACCTTGGAAAACTTACTTTTGGACTACTACTCTCAGAATCCACCAGTCAATGAATAGCTTGTGATCCAAAAAGTATTTTTTCCTAAATCTGTAACAAAAGTATAACTCCGGTACATGACAACTGTCACTTCAATTTCTGAAAACAGCCTCTTCCTGGGTCTACACCATGTTGGAAGACAGAGACTGCTGCCACATTGCAGAATTAATGCAATTTGACATAGCTTTAACTGTCATGGCTACAACCTATGGAATGCTGGATTCTGTAGTTTGTTGTGGTACCAGAGCTCTCTGACAGAGAAGGCTAATCTGTCTCTGAAAATTACACTTCCCAGAATTCCATAGCACTGAGCCCTGGCAGTTAAAGTGGTGTCCACCTGGATCAGTGCGGAACACAGTATAGTGCGGAACACAGTATAACCAGTGCTCATGACTGCTGGGAGATTCTGAGAGTTATAATCTAAAACTGTGACTTTACCAAGCAATGATTAATATATAGGATTAATGACCCACATTCTCTCAATCATTAATATCATTGAAAAAATCCATAAATGTATTTTTTAAACATATCTCTGGCTGTTTGAACAGAATGAAGGTCAAGGTCTGTTAAGATGTAATCACTTTTATGAAAACTTTCTGCCACCTATCTTTTTCCTTCCTTTTATAAAAGCAAACAGGTATTTCCTTACATTTAACATTTGACTTTCCTATGTTACTCTTCACAGGCAGAAGGTCTTTTCCCTTGTGTGTTTATTGTAAATGCCAAGTAGAATACAAATGAAATGGAATATTTTTTTCCAGAACAAAACAGGATGACAAAAAATAATTGCTAGTCTAATTCTTGCACATTAGCTTAGCACCAGCTGAGATGCAAGGTTAGCTTTGTTTAAAATAGCACGCCACAAAAAGCATCCAAAGTCAAGTGGAGAGTTCCTGCTGTAACATCATTTTATTCCCTTGGTGGGTGGCTTATCTCTACAGCTTGGAAAGATGACAGCTCCCAGGATCCCCTAGGCTGCATGTCCCAAATCTTGTGAGATATAAATATTCATCTGAGGATCTAGATAAAAATAACGGCAAACCAAGGGAAGGAACTGGCCACCCTATGGAATATTTTTTGCTTTTACAACTGACTATTTTACAGTCTGAAATACCATGTCTCCATGAACCTGTCAGAGTTTTAAGGTCTTCAGGGGAAGGCTTTCTCTTCATGCCTCAACCATCATAGGCATGTGTAGTCCCCTGCACTGGCAGGCAAAGACTTTCTTATTTGGGAAGGCCGTTGTTTTATACAGTGGACCCTTGGTATCTGCTGGAGTTTGGGTCCAAGGCCCCCATGGATACCAAAATCCATTGATGTTCAAGTTGCATTATATACAATGGCATAGTAAAATGGTGTCCCTTATATAAAATGGTAAAATCAAGTTTTGCTTTTTGGAATTAAAAGAATAAATAAGCCATGGATGGTTTAATCTGTGGATGCAGAATCTATGAACATGAAGGAATGACTGTAATTTATCTGGCACAAAGGACTTTTAATGGGGTTGCACATTTACCCTCATTATATTCCTGCAGACAAGTTGATAAAATGTAAGCTAGATGATGTTACTATTAGGTGGATTTCTAGCTGGCTGACAGACACACTGCAAAAAGTGCTCATCAGTGATAATTTTTTTTATCTTGGACAGAAGTGACTAATAGGGCAACACAGAGCTCTGTCCTGGTCCTAGTGCTGTTCACCATCTTTATAAATGGCCTGGATGAACTAAGATGCTTATTAAATTTGCAGATGACACCAAACTAGGAAGGGTAGCAAATACCTCAGAATACAGAATAAGAATTCAAGATGACCCCAATCGATTTTGCCCAGATTTGGAGAAATTGGCCCAAACTGGGAACAATGTAAGATTGTTCAATGTATTTAACTAGGAAATACCAGATGCACAAATATTGGACCTCTGGCTTGGCAGCACTATGTGTGAAAAGGATGAAGGGGTCTTAGTGTCATATCCAAAAGGGTTTTGGATCTGCCATAATAAAGGATATGAGGGAAGGGTAATGATGTGGTGATGTATCAATATAGAGAAGTAGGGAGAGATTGGAAAGGAACTATTATCAAACAGGAGAACAGATGGGCTATAAGAATGCTGCTTTA